GATTATTGTAATTTAATACAGCTAGGGAATTTTCGCATTAAGATTTTTTGGAACTTATAACAAAAGAACCCATCGTCCTAACTAGACAGCTGCCTGGGTAAAACAAGTGACCGAGCAGAAAAAAAAAATGAGTCCCAATGACTTGACGTTATTTAAACGGGAGAGAAGGCGCTGAAAATCATCTTCGTATTATTGCTACTGGCATCAATCAGTAATCGATAATAAACGATTGTTATCGGCAAAATTAGAATTCGATGATTTTTCAAAAAAAAAAAACTTGTATTGGCAACACTGTTATTATTATTATGAGAACGATGATTGGTCAAATATTAATTACACACGGGAACGGACAAGGCACCATAAAGAAAAGAAGGGTATTATTGTACGAGTGTGTAATAATAACGACGTTTTGACAGGCATTAATCGATTGTGGGTACCCTATTGAAATTGGTACCACAAAGGCGATCATTATTATAGTAGGTACCCTGAAGAAGCGACGTCATAATAATTAGAGATTTTTGCATAATTCCGCCTTGGTACCCATTGTAACGTAGGTAGTAGTGAGGTACCCTCTAGCGGTCAATTATGTACCTGTCGCTCTCCGATTCGTAATTAATCATTTTTCGAAAAAGGCAATTTAGTAGTTGGGCAGAGGTGCCTCTTCCGTGAAAGTTTAAATTTCACGGGAGCTAATTGGGTTAGAAAATATGGAAGCGGGAAAATTGAATTTTTTTTTCTTGTATAATAGGAATTTTTACTTGTGAATAAAATATTATTTAAATTTAGAATTTGGCGCCTTGTCAATTGTCAAGAAAACAAAGCATAAAGTTTTGATTTTGACAGATGACGTATTTCCCTGCGTTGTTATTTATTCTCATCAAATTTTACTGATAGATCCACCATTTTATGTCGTTTATTTTCTTTTTTCATTCAAAAAACAAAGATAGTAAAGTCACTGATTAGAATAAAAACGAGAGGATTGCTCAACACCGGATATACATTGACATTGACAAGCAAGCAAATGTTGGCGGGAAAATGAATGTTTTCATTAGCCCTTTTTACGTGGCTCCGATTTAACAAACCGCAACATACCGCTCAAATTCAAGTGGTATCGATGACGTCACTTTGTAACCGAGTTAGGAAACGGTATGTCATTTCTCTAACCAGAGAGGCCTTATTCTTGACTTTCTCTCGAGAGAAAATTTGACTGTGTTGACAATTAAACAGTGCATTAACTGTTAACAATGTCAAATTTTCTACTTAGGTAAAGTGAAGAATAATGCCTCACACAGCTTGGCGATATGGTAACCTTACTAACCTTTAACGATTATCTTTTATCTTTAAAGAAAAAACACACATTACATATTATTTTAAAGTTTTTATCTACACAATCAATTGACGCATAGAAGCAATTGAAGTTAAAATAAATAATAGGGACATTTTTTTTCAAGATACACGTGAAAAAAATCTGGTAATTTTCAATTTTTCCACATAGTATATCTCAAAACGCACTGATTTCTATAGAAACCTTGTATAAAACGTTCTTTTTCGAGTTCAAACAAGTTGATAACAGATTATTTGTATGCGCAACTTTTTCCCCATTTGGTACACCCTGTATCTTCAATGGTTCCAGATAATTCCGGACACCCTGCATATTTATAAAAAGCACCTTCCAAATACACCTCCGTTTTGGATTTTTGGGTCTTCTACAAAATCTACACAATCAAAAAGTGTAGAAGATTACGAAGAAGCATGCAAACCTGACTCATAGGGTGTGACAATCTCAAAATTTGATCTCGTAGTTACATTTTTGCATCCTCTACACAGTCTTTATGCTAAAAGTTTGTGGAAAAATGAGAAAATGCGATAGGAGATCACAAATAACTCCTACTGTAACATCTCTCAGATAAAGATGGCGCCAAAACTTGAATTTTTAGTGCTGCCACCATAAAATGCTAACTGCCAATGGAAATAAAATTCAAAATGGCATCAATTGAAAAATTTCAAATTTTGATTATTCTCGGATCTTGAACTCGAATCAAGAGCCGAGAATAATTTAAATTTGAAATTTCTAATTATCAGTTATAAATCTGTAACAACTTGTTGCTATACGCCATTTTGTTAACCTCATTGCTTGCGTTAATGTCAATGTCTCAAAAAAAAGCATTAAAATGGCGTCTGGATGGGTTCGATCCGATAAAAATGTTCAAATTTTGATTATTCCCGGCTCTTGAACTCGAATCAAGAGCAAATTTTGGTTATTCCGGGCTCTTGAACTTGAATAAGAGCGGGGAGTAATTCAAATTTGAAAATTTTCCACCAATCAAATCAGTGCAATTTCTGCTGTTGCTATTGACAGCGGCAACTGTCATTTTTACTATGCAAATAGCGCTTCAATTCAAGTTTTGTTAATTCCCGGCTCTTGAACTTAGATCAAGAGCCGGGGATAATTCAAATTTGCTCATTCATTTTGGTTCCTGAAGTTAATAGGTTGTCTAATAATGGGTAACTTGATGACATCATCTGGGGTGCCTTATGGAGATTTGCATTATGTTGAGGCATCCCAGATAACGTCATAAAAGGTATCGGGCAACCTTACCCCTCAAACAACCTTGCGAATTCACTACCAATAAGATTAGTGCAATTTCTACTGTTACCATTGACGGCTACTGTCATTGTTACTATATAGCCCTAGCGCTTAAATTAAAGTTTTGACTTTAGATCAAGAGCCAGGAATAATTTAAATTTGATAATTCATAACCAATCAAAATGGTGCAGTTTCAACTGTTACTATTGGTAACGTCAACTGTCACTATTCCTCAGTACTAAAACGATGGAATTTTAGATTTTACAATCTGTCAAAGATGCAAAAAAGTCAATTTCCAACTGTCAATACTTCCGAAACAATCGAAGATAGATATATGACATTGTATGTAGGTACAGTCGTGAGTATAAAAAGTGGGACACCCGTTTTTTCCTATTGTAAAACGACCTCATCAGCTTTATCTACGGCAATGACAGAGATTGTCATATTTGACAAAATCCATTGAAGAAAAAAATACTGATTTACCCAAAATAGCGAAAAATGACAAGACCTGTCAGTCGGGTGTTCCACTTTATATGGTCACGACTGTACATAAAATATGTCTAAAATTTTTCGCAGAATCCAGAAATGTCATAATATACAGGAAGAGTCATTTAAAAAAACATAACTTTAAGTCACCACTACTTATTGGGCCACCCTGTATACTGGAAAATAATTTAGGAATCTAGTACCTACTCATGTTTATCTACAAGTTTTGTATTTACTTTTTTCTTCGATGATATGGACCACCGCGCGCTGAGTAACTCACCCTGTATAAGTGTCTCAACAAGAACTTGAATTTCAAATAGCGCGCCATTTTTGTCTGTCAAGCGTCAGGTCGGCCATATTAGGCATTGACATTTAATTTACCAAAATACCGCTTTACACTTTTGAGGAATGTTAATTTTTTTCATTTTCATTTTAATAAATGTCAATATTTTTACCAAACACTTGCCCAATATGGCCGACTTGACGTTTGACATTTGACAGACAAAAATGGTTCGCGAAGTTTTTGTTATGAGACACCTTTGGATTCAAATTCTTGTTGGAACACTCTTATAATAATTCTCGTCCCGGTATGTATGTATGTAATTTATTAAAATCAAAATTTCCATAAAACATTCAGTTATTATTTAAAATAGCTCGATGACATTTAAACGTCGCTTAAACATGTGCGGTAGGTCAGGGCAGATGGTAATATTATTATTATTCAAAAGTAGCACAACTAATTAACGTAATATCGAAAAATCAAAATTAATAATCTCGTATACACCAGGTAGTACCGGTACCACCTGTAGTTTTTTTTTTCCTGATTGGATTTGCATTTTACTTACGTAACATCATGGGGCGCGTGCCACCTTTGATTCAAAAATAACAACAACTGTCACTTGCTAATATAATGTCTTTATATTTATTATTAGTCATTTACAGACAGATTTTAACGTCTAAAAATTGAGTTTTGACATTGTTGACAAGTTTCAAATAACTATTGAATTTCGTAAATGTCAAAAAAACAATGTTGCGCAATTGTCTCTATTTCGTGCAGATAATTTTTGTGAGCCACCGGGGCGAACGCATTCCTTTTTCTCCTGAAAAATTTAAATCGCTTTAAATGGCCATTATTATGTTATTTTAAGTAAATTACGGTCATTGGTTGCCCAAAACCCAACCATTGCGTGACCGGGAATAATTTTTATTTAAATATCGTTATTTTTTTTTTGATTTTCAAATACGTTGTTGCCAGATTTACCCGAGAGTGACAAAATTTGTCAACAATAACTTGCCAAAAGTTGAACTATCAATTCTATAAGAAACATCAAAATATGACAATTATTTTGACACTAATATGCTTGCAAAAGTCTCGATTTTTGTTCTCGTTGGATAGAAGAAACGAGAAAACAATCCGAATAAAACTAATAATAGTAATTATTAAAGTTTGTGGTTTTTTAAAGTCGTCCGAGGAGGCTGCGCCCGGTCGCTGGCGTGTAACCTGGTAGTTAAGTAATTACGTTTTCTGCAAAATGAAAATTATTAGCTCTAGCCGGGGCTTCGCTAGCGCCCCCTGGCGAACGAAATTATTATATGACGGTATTATTATTTTACGCGATACTGATGTTGCTACCTGAATTTCTTGAAGTTAAAATTTATAATGGAACTTTAATAAGATAATTTAATGCTTTGTAGAGTGAAAAGTTATCTACTTGCGATAGCGTTTTCTTTTAGATTTGAGGGCTGAAGTTTGCCACAATTGACAGAAAGTTTCGTTGAAAAAATGTTCAGAAACGATTTTGATTGGTTTATGTCACAACTCAGTTAAACGTTGCCAAATAATTCAAAAATATAAATAATTTTTGGAGTTGGATTGTCAATAAGTAGATTCGAATCATACATGTGTTTGACCGTTGCCGCCATATTGATTTTTTTTGATAGGTCGTTGGATTGCCTTATTACTGAAAATTAGGTTATAGGCAAAATTATTTTCTCTTTTTTTCTCCCGCACTGCTGACTGTTTTTTTCTCTTTCTTCATCACATAAAATTCAGTTCAATCGAAAACATTCCTACCAATAAAACAAACAAAAATCGATCAATAATAATAATTTATTTAAATAATAAATATTTACACCTTAAATCGTAAACGGAAAAATAAATAGAATAGGTATGGTACAATAAAGAAAACTGACAACATCACTGAATATACATAACTATAGAACAATGCGACGTTGCCAAATCTTACAGGTACAAAGGAACAAATATAACAAGTTTGATTAATTTATAAATCCCGATCGTGCATGGTGAGCTGTAAAGGCTGCATAGGGCTGGACAGGGGCGGCGAACTGTCAACAACGTCAACCGGACTACTGGATTTCGAACGTCGAAAATCATCTTCAACATCTGACTCGTCATTGACGTTAATTTCTTCGTCGCTCGAATCGTAGTAGGCTTTGGAAGCGGTTGTAGGAGGAATCAGGGCTTTGAATGCGCTAAAAATATTTCCAATTATAAAATTGATTAAATAATATGAAATAAAATTGTTACCTATTTTCGCCTCCCATTTGGACCAATTGTAGAGCGGCGTTGGGCAACGTAAGGGGCGACCCACGGTCGGAACTTTTGTAGTGATGACGTAACGGCGGCGACGGAGTCAACCGACTCGAGCCGAATAGCGCCCCCTGCTGGCTGCCGCCCCCCGAAGGCGCCGACGTTTGTTTTAGCAAGTTCATGCGCTGATGTCGACGCCATTTTGCTCGTCTGTTGGAAAACCAAACCTGCGTTAATAAGTTGCGTGTTAGTTTTTAATGAGGGGGTGTTAACTCGTCATAATCGAGCCGTTTTGATGATTCTTACCTGAACTCTGGCTTCGGACAGTGATGTTTTAGATGCCAGCCGCTCCCTGGTGCTAACGCAAGGATAGTGACTTTTTTCAAACTCCTTCTCTAATTCTTCCAATTGATCCGGGCTGAATGTGGTGCGATTCCGCCTGAACTTGGGCTGTTCGGAACTGTCCAAGCTCGAATCGTCCTTGTCCATCGGGCCGCCACCTGGCGGCGAGTTTAGTAAGCTGTGATGTTCGCCTGGCAAAGGCGAACTGCTCGACGAAGGGCTGACGCCTGAAGGATTCGAACTGGGGGTGAGGCCGAGAGGGCCTTGCGGCCACAAGGGCGAGTGCCACGGGAAGGCGGCGGCTGCGTAATGGTGCGGGTGGTACAGGCCGTAGCCGGCTGCGCGGGCGAATTCGGCAGCTGCGCGTTCGGCGGCGCGGTTGCGCAGTATCCGGTTGATGCTGCTCACAGATGGCGCTGTCGCGTTCGTACAGACACCTGTAATAATAATTTATGTTCAAAACTGAGAAAATTGGAGTCAAGTCAGATCAAGCTGTTCCCATATGAGAAAATGAGTGTCGAAATTCCATTATAATAACAAGATTGACGTTTAAACTTGACATCTTTCACATACCTAAATGACATTTGTCAGTGTCACTCTTGTTATGTCTAACCGTTGACATTATTATAAAGACATCTGGCAGTCCAATTTTTTTTTTTCTTAATCGGGTTAAGGGCGAGTCACCTCTGAGTTGGTTTTAACTCCAAGGTAAGCGTGTCCAGTTGCAATGTTTACCCTGGAGTTATGCCTAACCCGGAGGTAACTTGCTATTGAGATTGAGAAACTGGCCCTTAAAGGTTTGAATGTTACCATCAAAAATTAAACAAATTCGTATATACAAATGACTACCATCAATGACTATCAATCAAAAAACCTCGAATAAATAATAGTTAATTATCGAGGTGATGGTGATAAATATTTAGTTTTCAATCATCCGAAAGGTTGCGCTTCGATCGATCAATCTCTTTAATGCGCTTTCATTTGTTATTTGCTTGGCCAAGATTTATTTCCACTTTAATGGGCCAGATGGCGTCATTTCTCAAACTCTGATGGTATTCGATCATGACAATTATTGAGCAACAATACTGATCAACGTACCTAAGCCTGTTTGATTTTTTTTTATAAATTGGAATCAAAAGTATAAAATTACGACCTACTAATAAAAGACAAACATAAATCAATCACTTTGAAGGGTTTGCTAAGGGAAACCTAGCAAGTGTGATGTTCAGTGGTTCAGTTGTGTACGACAAACAGGATTTATTGCAATTTAATCAGATTTGTAGCCTTTTGCACTTACATGGGGATTAATCGATAATGTAAATCGTAAATCACACTAAAATGTTATAAATACTAGAAATATAATTTTATACATGAACATGAAATACGCTCGGAATCTTTCGCAAAATTGGCCAATCCCGATCCCGTGATTTAATATGGCCGTTCAGGTCAAATTGTGGAGACGTTCATAAAAAAAGCATTTGTGTTTTGGCCCTTATTGTCGTTGATGCCAAACATGACAATGCCAATTTCAAACCTAAATGTCTACAATGTGACAACATAAGTAATTTTTCATTTGTAACCTAAATGTAAACAACACGGTGTCTGACAACTTCCATATCAAACTTCGGTTGTCAAGTCATAGGATTGCCTAATACAAAAATATCAACATCCATATACCTATTATACTAACGTATAACGTATATCGCGCCTTCCCCATTTACCCAATGTGCGGTTTTTGAAGCAAACAAAAAGAGATAAAGTTATATGATCTCGCATAAGTCTATCTTTGTCAAACGAAGGAGAACGAGGTTATGAACTGCGCTTGCGTTAAACTCTAGATTCTTATTGGCCGGCCGTTGCCATTTTGCATCAAGCTTTTCGTGCCGTGTTGTCATGTCAAGCTGAAAAGTACAATGAATTAGGATAATTTTTTGAGGTTATAATTTGGTCGATTGTATTTTGATTCCGAAACACTAATAAAAATGAATATATTGGTTTATTTGTCGAAATCGAGTATATGTTACTCGCACCAAAATACAAAATTCGTCATGTTTCTTGTGAATGTTTAAATAACTCGAAGATGGAAATAATTTTATTGGCAACCCTGCAATATCAGCTGTTTAAAATAAATTCTTATTGGAGGAATAACTTCAAATTGACGCATGCGCATTGGAAAAATAAGTTCACTTTAGACAAAGAAGGCATCGTTCTATCTCATAATATTGTTTGCTTCAAGAACTCAAACCGACCCGCGATATACGTACTATAATAAATATATGTCAACATCATACAATAACAGATTTCTGTAATGTCATTCGTATGACGTCATACCACCCTCAAGGAAAAAAAATTACACCGACCGGAAACTACTGTAAAACTCTTTCAACGGTTGCAAATCCACTAAACAATCGAACCCAACCAACGGTCGTTTCTGTGGCATGTCGTGACCAAAAAAAAACCACTGTTTTGTCATTTTCGAATGGTGTTTTTTGCGGTTTTTCGAAGGTGTTTCGGTTGACACGCATCCCTCTCAACCTGTTGGTCATCGATTAAGCGTACAATTACAATTTTCTCAAAAGCAAAATCGACTATACAAAACACGCATGTCGAGTTTCTAGTTCTTCGAACCCAATTTCGTTAAATTTTTTAATGTGGGTACACGCAATCGGACACGCTTAATTAGGCTAATTATGTTTTGTTGGACAATTTACTTAAAAAACAATCCCTTTATACACAGCATTTGTGGAAATTTGATAAATTGGTAGCTACTCAAGACACTGACATGTAAACATCTCGCGAGCGACATACCAATGACGTCATAAAAGTTACTACGCAACCTCCTCTTTTAAACAGCCTCTATCCTTGACATGAGAATCTAATGCTACCTTGTATACCAATGACGTCATAAAAGCTACTACGCAACTTCCTTGACATGAAAATCTAATGCCACCTTAGGCCGCAAGTGCTGACATAGCTGCGTAAGATCCCCTTTCACACTTATACACACATATAAATTCAAATTTTGTTTTGAATGGGATTTTTCCACTGCCCATTTGTGTTCAATAAAATAACTAGGACTTTCATTGTTTCACGTTCGAAATACATCGTGCAAAAAATTTATTGAAATTATTGTTATAGGAAAAATTCCCTAAAACTAGGAAATAACACTTTTGACGTATACAATACCTGTGATAGAATGATTGTGCGACGTTGCTACATTTATGGGAATTTTCCTGAAATCTTGGAAGAAATAATATGACTTATTTTGGTCTAAGCTGAGATACATATCTCATTTTTTGTCTATTCCAGGCTCTTGAACTTTCTTTATTTTTCATTAAAAAAAATCAGAATTTATGAATTTTGCTTGTCGGTGTCATTTGAATTGAATTTCCGAAAAAAACAATCCCTAAAAATTAGGGAAAAAATATTTTGACCTACACAGTACCCGTGAGAAATTGATTGTCCGACGTTGCCACATTTGTCGAAATTTTTCTAAAATCTAGAAGACACTTGGTACCTTTTTAATTTTTTTGTCTATTCCAGGCTCTTATATTTGCTTCATTTTTCATTAAAAAATCGAAATTTATGAATTTTCTTATTCCAGGCAAAATGCTTGTCGATGTCATTTGAGGACAAAAAATACGGGAAAAAAATTGCTTTTGATAAAAATTCCCTGAAATTAGGGAAAAAACAGTTTAACCTACACAATACCCATGATAAATTGATTGTGCGACGTTGTCACATTTCTAAAATCTAGAAGACACTTCAAAATGGATAACCATGTTTTTTTTTTGTCTATTCCAGGCTCTTGAATTTCCTTTATTTTTCATTTAAAAAATTCGAAATTTATGAATTTTCTTATTCCAGGCAGAATGCTTGTCGGTGTCATTTGGAGACAAATTAAATTTCTGTAAAAAAACAACACAAGGGAATAAAATAGCTTTTGATAAAAATTCCCTAAAATTAGGGAAAAACAGTTTGACCTACACAATACCCGTGATGAATGGATTGTGCGACGTTGCCACATTTGTCGAAATTTTTCTAAAATCTAGGAAACACTTGAAAATGAATAACCATGGTTTAAGATACCTTTGAAATTTTCTGTTTATTCCAAGCTTTTGAATTTCCTTTATTTTTCATCAAAAAAATTCGACATTTATGAATTTTCTTATTCCAGACAAAATGCTTGTCGGTGTCATTTGGGGACCTATTAACTTTCTGAAAAAAACAACATGAGAAAAAAATAGCTTTTGATAATAATTTCCTAAAATTAGGGAAAAACAGTTTGACCAATACAATACCCATGATAAATGGATTGTGCGACGTTGCCACATTTGTCGAAATTTTTCTAAAATCTAGGAAACACTTGAAAATCAATAACCATGGCTTAAAATACCTTTTTTAATTTTTTGTCTATTCAAGGCTCTTGAATTTTCTTTATTTCTCATTAAAAATTCGAAATTTATAAATTTTCTTATTTGAGACAAAATGATTGTCGTGTCATTTGAGAACAAATTGAATTTCCAAAAAAAAAAATGAGGGAAAAAAAATAGCTTTTCATAAAAATTCCCTAAAATTAGGGAAAAAACAGTTTGACCTACACAATACCCGTGATAAATTGATTTTGCGACGTTGCCACATTTGTCAAAATTTTTCTAAAATCTTGAAAACACTTGAAAATGAATAACCATAACTTAAGATATCTTTTTTAATTTTTTGTCTATTCCAGGCTCTTTATTTTTCATTTAAAAAAGTTGAAATTTATGGATTTTCTTATTCCAGACAGAATACTTGTCGATGTCATTTGAGAACAAATTAAATTTCCAAAAAAAAAAAAATAAGGGAAAAAAATAGCTTTTGATAAAAATTCCCTAAAATTAGGGAAAAAACAGTTTGACCTACACAATACCCGTGATAAATTGATTTTGCGACGTTGCCACATTTGTCGAAATTTTTCTAAAATCTAGGAGACACTTGAAAATAAATAACCATGGCTTAAAATACCTTTTTTAATTTTTTGTCTATTCTAGGCTCTTGAATTTCCTTTATTTTTCATTAAAAAAAATCAAAATTTATGAATTTTCCTAATTTTCTTTATTCCAGACGTGTCGATGTCACTAAGGGAAAAATTAAATTTCCGAAAAAAACAACACAAGGGAAAAAAATGGCTTTTGATAAAAATTCCCTAAAATTAGGGAAAAACATGGGAAAAACAGTTTGACCTACACAAAACCCGTGATAAATGGATTGTGCAACGTTGCCACATTTGTCGAAATTTTTGTAAAATCTAGGAGACACTTGAAAATAAATAACCATGGCTTAAGATACCTTTTTCAATTTTTTGTCTATTCCAGATTCTTGAATTTGAAATGCTTGTCGATGTCATTTGAGGACCAATTAAATTTCCGAAAAAAAAATAAGGGGAAAAATAGCTTTTGATAAAAAATCCCTAATATTAGGGAAAAAACAGTTTGACCTACACAATACCCGTGATAAATTGATTTTGCGACGTTGCCACATTTGTCGAAATTTTTCTATGATCTAGGAGACACTTGAAAATAAATAACCATGGTTTAAGATAGCTTTTTAATTTTTTGTCTATTCTAGGCTCTTGAATTTCCTTTATTTTTCAATAAAAAAATTCAAAATTTATTAATTTTTCTAATTTTCTTTATTCCAGACAAAATTAAATAAAAACAGTTTGTCCTACACAATACCCGTGATAAATTAATTGTGCGACGTTGCCATATTTCTAAAATCTAGGAGACACTTCAAAATGGATACCTTTTTAAATTTTTGTTTATTCCAGGCTCTTGAATTTCCTTTATTTTTCATTAAAAATTCAAAATTTATGAATTTTCTTATTCCAGACAAAATGCTTGTCAATGTCATTTGAGGACAAATTAAATTTCCTAAAAAAAAAATAAGGGAAAAAAATAGCTTTTGATAAAAATTCCCTAAAATTAGGGAAAAACAGTTTGACCAATATAATACCCATGATAAATTGATTGTGCGACATTGCCACATTTCTAAAATCTAGAAGACACTTCAAAATGGATAACCATGTTTTTTTTTTTGTTTATCCCAGGCTCTTGAATTTCCTTTATTTTTCATTAAAAAAAATTCGAAATTTATGAATTTTCTTATTCCAGGCAAAATGCTTGTCGGTCTCATTTGGGGACAAATTAAATTTTTGAAAAAAACAACGCGAGGGAAAAAAATAGCTTTTGATAAAAATTCTCCAAAATTAGGGAAAAACAGATTGACCTACGCAATACCCATAATAAATGGATTGTGCGACGTTGCCACATTTGTCGAAATTTTTCTAAAATCTAGGAGACACTTGGAAATGAATAACCATGGCTTAAGATACCTTTTTTAATTTTTTGTCTATTCCAGGCTCTTGAATTTCCTTTATTTTTCATCAAAAAAATTCGAAATTTATGAATTTTCTTATTTCAGGCAAAATGCTTGTCGGTGTCATTTGAGGACAAATTAAATTTCTGAAAAAAACAACACGAGGGAAAAAAATAGCTTTTGATAAAAATCCCCTAAAATTAGGGAAAAACAGTTTGATTTACACAATACCCATGATAAATTGATTGTGCGACGTTGCCACATTTCTAAAATCAAGGAGACACTTCAAAATGGATAACCATGTTTTTTTTTTTTCTTATTCCAGGTTCTTGAATTTCCTTTATTTTTCATTAAAAAAATTCAAAATTTATGAATTTTCCTAATTTTCTTTATTCCAGACAAAATGCGTGTGACTTGAGGAAAAAATTAAATTTCTGAAAAAACAACATAAGGGAAAAAAATAGCTCCTTATAAAAATCCCCTAAAATTAGGGAAAAGCAGTTTGACCTTCACTGTACACAATACCCGTGATAAATTGATCGTGCGACGTTGCCACATTTAATAACTTTGGTTTAAGATACCTTTTTAATTTTTTGTGTATTCCAGACTCTTGAATCTCCTTTATTTAATTTTTTAAATTGAAAATTTATGAATTTTCCTAATTTTTCATATTCCAGGCAAAATGCTTGTTGATATTATTTGAGGAAAAGTCAAATTTCCGAAATCAAAATGATCGAAAACTTAGGTTAAATAAACAAACTTCACAAAAGCTTGACCATTGCCGCCATATTGAATCCTGGCATTCGTGGTTTGGAGCAAAGTTGTTTGAGAGTGGTAGGTTGCCTGATAATTTTATGACGTCATCTGGGGTGCCTCAACATGAAGAAAATCATGTAATGCAATTCATATAAGGCACCCCAGATGCGTCATCAAGTTACCCATTACCAGGCAACCTATAAACTTTAGAAACCCTGGCTTGGATTCAACCAAGGCTCAAGTAAATAGATTGTCTGATAAGGGGTAACTTGATGACGTCATCTGGAATGCCCTATTGAGATTTGTATTATGTTAAGGCATCGCAGAAGACGTCATAAAAGTTACTCTGGAACTCTATAACCGATAGAGTTCGTTATTCCTATCGCTGTAACATTTGATGTATTTTACTCTCTTTTCGAAATCAATAAAGAAGAGACGTCAATAGAGATAGAGAAGAGTCCTAGCAACTTACCTCTCTTAAACAATCTTAATTTGGATCAAGATTGTTTGAAAGAGGGAGGTTGCCTAATAACTTTCATGACTTCATCTGTGTGCCCAAAAATTTGGATCAAGATCGTTTAAAAGAAGGAGGTTGCCTGATAACTTTTATACCGTCATCTGTGGGACTAAACATAATGCAAATCTCCATAAGAACCACCTGAATGATTTCCTTTTTAGAGTAGTTAAAATATGGGTCAAAAATTGATAATAATTTGTAGCTTACCTTCCGAAATGAGCCGTTCCCGTATCTCCCAAGCGAATATAGTAGGATTTTCTCTTTTGTACTGTTCTATTTTTGAAACCACCGCTGGCGTCGCCACTTTCGGTTTGCTGCCGCCAATCAAACCTGGCGGTCGCAATGTACCTAAAAAAAAAAAAGAAGAGATTGACAATTTTGACATTAATTAGTAGTACTAAAAAACATTGCCATGTAAATTACGTCAACGCTAATGAGACATCAGTTAGTAGTACTAAACAGTGGCTTCCGGTTAATCAGGTGGTATTCAACCACCCGATGGTACCTATACCTATATTATACTTCCTGAACGTTTTGTTTTAATTTGTAAACATCGCGTCTAATTAGCGACGTAATTCGTATCATCGGCCATATGGCCGATTGTTTGTTTTTAATGAGCGGTTTTCGTTAATAACTTTGCCCTTTTTAATTGACAAGTGTTGAAAGACTTTGTCTCTTTTCAATAGGTTGAATTAAAAAGAAACAAAAGTAGTGCGAAGTAGGTATCTATGGTTCATTGCCCATCATCCCCAGGAGATAACGATTATTGTAATAAATAATCGATTTATCTGTCTTCTCTCCCTAATCGATCTGGATCGAGCGCGAGGTACCCCAATTAGCCAATCGGGTCGGCCAGAAATCACCGGATTAAGTCGCAATCCTATCATTTATTACGATTTACATCGATATCGATAAATCGTAATAATATAAAACCCAGAACCCTCTCTCTGGTGCTGCTGCTGCTGCTGCGTTTGGTTCTTTTCAACGGCAACAATTAACGACCGGGCGATTTATGGACGCTTTTTTTACTTTTTCTCGTTCCTGGTAATATCAGCGGCGACTCGTTATATTTTAATCTTATGGACTATTAATTTTTAAATTTGAATTTCCCACAATTGACAGCTTAACAGTGAATGAAACGTCATTTGTCAACCAGTTGATCATCTGTCAAAGAGACCAACTGGGGTTAATCGCTTGAAAACTCCCATTGTTTAAAATTTGAGCAATAATGAGCCGGTAATAAGCAAATTTTGATTTTATATCAAATTTAATTTTCCGCGATTTGTATACGTCACTGGTCGCTATATTTTTGGTTGCTACCCAGAAGCTAATTCGTTCGAATACCGCGAACAAAAAAGATGTGATTTATGGCGCTTGCATTCAAAAACGGGGAAAATCGAATTTTCCTCGAATAAAGGAAATTAATTGTTTGGCGATTCTTTTGTCAAAGGGCTGGTTTTATTGTGTTGACTTTACTAAAATTACCACACAAAAATGTTTAGAAGCTTTCAAGTTAAAACAGGGTGTAAAGACCCTTCGTTGGATTTCCAAACCGTATAAAATGAACATTAAATCGATAGTGTATCGATTAAATTATCGACTCCATGTCAGCCCCAAAAAAATACCGCCCATATTCACCTGCTAATTTTTTGCATTATTCATCAAAAAAATCACCATAAATAACTTCCACCTTCGATTTTCAAATCGATATTCATCGATCGATAAGCGATTTTTAGGCAAGGTGCTGCATTATACCGATTTTTTTTTTGATTCGATATCTCTTGAATAGTTGGCTGGAAAAGGCAAATAAAAAAAATGGCGGTATATGTATGTGTGTGTTTAGTCCGAAAAAGGTAATTTTTCAGGCACTAAAGGCAATCAGTCTCCGGGGACTTTTAAAGGCACAGGTGGTACCGCGAATCGCAAAAAATCAAGCAATATTCGCCGTCGGAACTCTCGTACTGTAAATGGTCGCCAGGCCGGTGCGGTACCAAAATCAGAAACAAATCACTTTTTGACTGTTTTTTTTTTTTCCGCAAAGCTTGCTTTGGCTACAAGTTTCTGACGGTACTACATTGGTCAGTTTTTGTTAATTTCATGGCCATTAATAGAACTAGTATTTTCTTATCTTTTTCTTTTGCATGCCATTAGAAAAAGATGCACGGAAATAAATCTATTAATCGATAGATTGTCAAATTTTTCATGGCCTTTTTAATGTGACATTTAGGTTGGTATCACTCATAGAAATTTCCTATGGTGAATGAGGTTGGCATTATTTTTTTTTCTACAGTTGGCAATAGTATGACAGTCACGACATTTTCAGTTCTGTCAACGTATAATTTTATTGTTGGCAAACTTGATTTTTCTAATATTATCCATTCACAATTCGATGTCCATAGGTACAGGTAAAATTTATCACCTTTCTATGCTATTTGATAGGGAGAGATGATCAATTTACCTGTACCTGTGGACATGGATTGTGAATAGGATATAGAATGTTTTGGAGATATTCTAAAAATAGCAACACAGTGGCTTAACACATTTTCTCCAAAAAACTGTCTTAAAAGTGTTTTATTTTAAAAACCCCAAAGAAAATGTAGGTTGTCTGATAACTGGTATGACGTCATCTGGGGTGCCTCAACCAATAAACTACACGTACAGTCGTGAGCATAAAAAGTGGGACACCAGACTGACAGGTCTTGTCATTTTTCGCTATTTTGGGTAAATCAGTCTTTTCTCTACAATTGATTTTTTGTCAAATATGGCAAATCCTTGTCATTGCCATGGGTATAAATGATGAGCTCGTTTTACAATAGAAAAAAACGAGTGTCCCACTTTTTATGCTCATGACTGTACCTGGAATGAAACCGACCGTTATCGGATATGTCATTTGTCTCTTTCTTAATGTGTCCAAAGACAGCTATCTTTCTCTCTCTAGTTCATTGCTGTTAGGCAGTGGAATGTATACTATGTAAATGGAATGGTACCAGCATTTATCACGCCTGAGGCAAATTTTTAATAGAGTGAAAGGTGTAACTGTCCTTGTCTTATGCATTACTGTAGGCGTATAAACTAAACTAAACTAAACTAATAAACTAAAAATCATGTCAATACCAATACCCCACTATACTCGGGAAGATGTACGCTTGCGACAAAGCAAACAACCCTTTTTATTGTCGTTCTCACTCTGCCATAAAATTTGCCTCAAAAATATACCAGTTACGTGTAGTATATAGTTCATTGCTGTTAAGTTTGGTATATTCCTAACCTCAAATATAATATTTTTTAGACAAGGAGAGATTTCCATAATTCGCCTGTAAGGTAATTATTCTCCATCCCAATTTGCCTCAGTTTATAGATAGGCGGGATCATTCCAGGTACATGTAGTTTATAGTTCATTGGCCTCAACATAATGCAAATTTCCATAAGGCACCCCAGATAACGTCATCAAGTTACCCATTACCGGACAACCCGTTAACTTTAGAGACCTTGAGTCTGTGACTTCTTTCGCCTAATTTTCTTGAAAATTCGAATCAGAATGTCTAGAATAAGCTAGATTGGAATTCCTATGATATGATATCTATTGTTAAATTATCAAAAATTACCACAGAATGTCATGAAACAGGTGAAAAATTGTCGTATTTTATCTTATTCTGTCAAAAATTACAAAACGTCATACGACAGAACTCTTGTGTATTTTATTTTTAATGGCAACAGAGTACAATAATTATTGTTTAGTTTGTGTACAATTTATTCCACGTTTAGTGCGTATTGCCGTATTGCCTACCAATAAAGAAATCCAAACCACGTGACTCTGCGAGCCAGCTGGCATTTTTAAATTTTTATGAGGTTAGAATACGGGTTTTTACATGTCAACGATGTCAGATTTCTTCATGTCAGCTGAGTTCAGAAGATAGCTCCAAGAGTACATTTTTAACAATTTTCAATTTAAATATTAAAGGCGATTAACCAGTCGGTTATTTTGACAGATGAACAATGCATTTAACGTCATTTAATATCGATTGGTGGACAAGTGAAGTTTGCTTCTTTGGTTATTTGTCAACTATGACCGACCGGTTAATCGCCTTTAATCAATGTTTATGTATTGATAATTTTGCCAAAAGAGAACATGTTTTTTGTTTATTGTGTGCCTACCAGGCGCCATTTTTGACAGGCCGTTAAATTGCCTAATTCATAATACATTTCAATGCTTTTGTCATCTGTCAAGTGTGTCAATTCTTGACTTAGAAGTAACAATCAGTGTTACCAATGTGTGAGCATTTTATAGATCTGGGGGTAAAAATGGGAGCATTGGCAAGATGTGAGCATTTAGTGGGCATTTTTGGTATTTATTAACCGAAAAAATTAAATTAAATTCGTCCCAGCACGAGTCCACGAGAGCCATGTCATAACTCGTGGCATAGCAAAGACCAAGCGTGCAACTTTTTAGAAAGGAATTATGTATTTCACGTCACTTGTCAAGAGGCCATTTTAGAAACGCTGATTCCATCCAAGGATGATACACACTCACTGCTACTACACGATGGCCTATTCTCATAATGCCTGTGTGTAACAAATCCCCCTCACGCCAAAATACCAGTTGTGACGTAGACAGAATATAATTTCTTGTCTTGACATAGGCTGTTTAAACAGCTGACGACTTAGTTATGACCTCGGAAATGGAATCACACCAATATGGCGGGGATTACTAAAAACGAGAGTGATAATCATTCCTTATGCTCCATTCTCACTTGCGCGAAATTCGCTCTTTTTTGACATTGCATCGAGAAATTGACATGCATAAAACGCCAAATTGTCGAAGATATTTCCTCGTTTTTATTCTAATCGGTGACTTCACCGATAAATTAGCTGTCTTCGTTTAGAGAATGGATAATGACAATGACCGACATAGAATGGTGAAAATTTGATGAGAATAAAAACGCAGGGAACGTCAAAAAAGAGCGAATTTCGCGCAAGTCAGAATGAGGCATTAGAGTGTGTATTGTGTATTCTTCTTGGATTGCAACAGCCGATCACCAGCTTTATCAGCCTGGTGATCCCGTAGTCAAATGTCAAATGTCATACTTAATACTGAAAAACTTGAAAAACTCCAAAACTATTGACATTTGGACATTGACGTTATTTTCAGTACGTGAGCATAATGTGAGCGTTTTCACTACAAATGAGGAGCATTTTGATAACTTCCCGTTGGCAACACTGGTAACAATTAAGAGGGCGTTTGTTTATGACATTGAAATCTGTCAATTCTGTGTTCTGATTGGTTGTTTTTTTAAATTTGTGTGCAAACTGAAAAAAAAATCACTTCACAATTGGCACAAATATTTTTT